CCTCTAATGAATAAATGCTAGATGTCGTTGTATGTTTAAAGTTGTACCATAACAATAACATGGAGACAAATAGGTAGCTGAAGTTCCACCTGAAAATTTGTGCAGTGCACTGTTAAAGCTCACACGAGTCTGGACTGAAACATAAAACATTATTTTTTTATATATATATTTTTATCCCTGTTTAACCCTGTGTAGTGTTAATGAGCATATGTCCCAACGGTGCGCTCTCATTAGACTTTTATGGAGGTTGGAGCCTGGCTGCAGATAGAGTGAGAGCCACACAGGCACAGGGCTCGTTTGCATGGAACAGCTGTGGAGGCTTATGTCCAACAGAAATATTTATTTAGGAGTCCAGTTGGGTCCCTAAAGGTAATCCACTCTGTTTACTTTGGATCCAGCCCATTGTTTAACTCTTACAACAGATTCACCCTTTGGTCACTCCACCCAAAACACAAGCCCCGTCTATATTCTATCATTTATAACTGTTTTTTAAGGATCACTTCATTTCTTCTAATTCAGTTCCTTATATTTCATTCAAGCAGCTCTTTGTGAGGAAAAAAACTGACTGAATATTGTCTACATTTTAAAAGGGATGCTGTTTGGTAATACTAAGGGGAATCAGCTGCCATAAAGCCTAGAAGAAACAACTGTGTCCACATGGTCCTCATCCAACAAATGAAAACCATGTGGAAACAACTTTCATGTGACTATGGAAGACTTTGTTTCTCTGTCATATTGCAACATCAGAGACAAAGGGTTAGATGTGAGGGCTGAACAGTTGATTCTGAAACACGTTGATCACTCATGGTAAGAAACACGGTTGTTTCTTCTTGGGTGTAATGGGTATTGAGACAGCATCACTCTGGGGGGGGGGGCGCATATATGTCTATGGCAGAATGTTCAGCTGCCGCGGTGACACATTGCACACATGAAAATACTGCCTGAGGTTTTAACCCTCTCCAGGCAGGCGTTGCAGATTTGCAACAGCTAAATTCCAATTACCTACTTACTCCACATCCATATTATATGAGCTTTTTTTACTCAGGAGCCTTTTCTCCCATCCATGCTGATAAACGTGGGCGATGCAGACTGTGCAAGAATGGCTACACGCAAACGGCCTGCCAGAAGTGCAAAATACTTTTTTGTTTACAAAGGATAAAAAAGTCAGAATTGTATATTACTACCCCATATGATAATTTTCCCCAAATATCAGATTTTTCCTGATACTAAAAAATAATTTGAGCCTGACAGGGTTAAGATCTACTACTAAATCTTAAAACTCAAGAAAAAATATATAAAACTGATTCAAAGAACACATTTTCAGTATGACTGTTCTTTGTCTATTTTAGGTGTTTGAGGTGAGAGTGACTAATTGAAAAACTGTTGGCTAATGCTAGCTCTGTGGTAGGGACTTACCTGTTGTAGACTGTGTTAAAATAAAGCTCAAAGTTAAAAAGACAGAGCAGTGCCTCTAGTTAGCATTACATTACAACCCCAGGGTATTTTGCACAGTATCAATTGTAGTCCATATTAACCAGACTAGTTTATGCTACCGCTAAAGAGGTTAGCAACATGCAAATATAATTTATACAAGTCAGTTGTATAGAATTACATCTGAAGGGTTTATTTTGGGTTGTGGTTTTACACGGACAAAAGACTGAACTATTTAGAGCTGATTTTGTTTGTTAGACTGATCAGAGAATGATTTAGGTTCAATACAAGTGCCAATCTAAAAACAATGGAGCTATTTCCACATGACTCTGAGCCAGAGCGCTGTAACAGGTTTGCCCAGTCTATATCATGAATATAAGATCGTGTTTGAAACAGTCTGCTTTGAGACGGCTCACACTCAACAACTATGTTTTAAACGGCTTATGTTACGCTATTTTCTAATCTGTTTAAATGTAGTTTCCTCATCAAAAACAGACCTGGAACTTTGTTTTGTTTCATTCACAAACCCTACATATTTAAGCTCTCAAACAGAAAACACTTCCACCATGTGATGCCATGTGCTCCACTGGGTTTTTAAACTCCTTACATCTTTACTAGAATCATTAGTTGGATTTCAGTCCTGGAATTGCCAATCTCTACAAAACAAAAGGTAAAAAGTAGCTGTTAACTTCAACTTAAACTTCATGACATCACAAGGTGGAACAGAGCGCTTTGAGCTCTGGAGATGTAGACAGTCTAATAATAAAGGTTTACTCAGACACATGTGAATGAAACGAAACACCACTCCAGGTGTGTTTTCAAGGAGGTAACAATACTGGAACATGACTTAAAACTAAAGAGTAAATTTTGCATAATATGGAACCTTTAACTCCCCTCTTACACAATTTCTCTTTGGCTAAAATCTGTAACTCATCATTTTCAGAGGTATGGTTAGTGGCTTTGAGATATATACAAGAAATATATATTTTTAAAAACACACATATTTCCACAATTTCAAAACAACCACTGGTTGACAGCTGCCTGTTGAGGAGCATTACCTGAAATGTCCCATCTGTGGTATTGTTTCCGAGCTGGTTCACATTTGGCAGAGAGCCTCCGTAGTACAGGCCCCGATTTGGCCCCAGCTGCAGGTACTGAGCCTTCTGTAACTGTCAACACACAAGTACACACAACATCACATACAAGAAAGAAAAGCTGGTCCCATTATACCTTAATTAACCTTAAAGAGGAGGTATTTTACTTCTTTGGAGGATTAACTGCTAACACATAATACAGTATATTTAGATCACCGTGTTACCTTTTATTGCTGTGAAACTGCTGTTTCTAACTGTCTGCTCTCCATGCAAAATCACTCCACCTTCAGAGCACTGCCACAACACATCATAAAAACCACACTTTGGAACATCCTCCATGGACATACTGCCACCTTGGCCACGTTTACAGGATATATATATATATATATATATATATATATATATATATATATATATATATATATATATATATATATATATATATATATATATATATATATATATATATATATATATATTTTTTTTTTTTTTTTTTTTTAACAAATTAATTGTTCTGAATTAAATCGTTTGGAATTAAAATATCCTTCTTCAAGTTTACATGGAAATAATAATTCCACATTGAGGTTTACATGGAAAACACATTAAATCACCATTATTTAATTCCACTCTACATCTGGGGTCCTTCCCTTCCCTTGGACAGAGACACAAACGTATTTACATCTATTGAAAGAAAATACACACTTCAGCTGCTACCGACTTTTCTGTAATCTTGGTTTGTCATTACACCACGGACACAAACACGATCCAAAATTTTTCGCAATCGTTCTGATGATAATGAAGCAGCGGCTGGAGAATTCTCTCATCAAGCTTTACATCTGTCAGAAGGGAGGAACAAGACAAAGTGAGTGTGAGGCTGCTCTACCTCAGCCCACTCCCACATCCCGCTCACAAATCCAAAGAGACGTGGATCAAAGTCCAAAGCCAGGACTGGTGGAGCCATAATGTCCAGATCACGTCAGAAGAGCGACCCAACGAGCGTGCGCTGAACCACTGACATTATTTTTAAGAATAAATGTTTATATGATCGAGGAATAAATACATTTGTTTTTAAAATTGGAATAAACCACCAAATTACTTCGAAATTGAGTTTAATTCAGAATAATAATTTTCATTAGAAATTACATGTTTACATGGTCTTTTTAAAGTGGAATTCTTTTTTATTCAGGATTAAATTATTTTTTATTCTGAATTAAAGCTCTCATATAAACGTGGCAACTGTAAAGGATTATAGTCAACAACATTTCCATGGAAACAAGCAGGAGTAAATAAGAATAGTAAAAAAGAGTCAAGTTTTTAGAGATGCGAACCTGCTCAGAGTAAGACTGCATGTTTTTCAGTTCAATAAACAGAACCAGAAAATGAAGAAATATGCTTTTCTTTTAGTCTACCTTCGGCTAAAAAGGTACACACTGTGGCTTTAAAGGAGCTATTGTTAATGAGACCAACGTTGTGATGTGCAGAGGTGGATTAACAAGTAGCTTTTCTAGTCACACAGTAAAATATGATTTGTATGACTCGGATGCTACGGGGATGGCAATCAAAACAACATCTCGTAGCATTTGTGGTTCTTATTTTCATAAACAAACCTCCTGGGGCCTTGTGACATTGTATGTTTCAGAACGCTCTCAAGTCCCATTTCCAATTTACAAAGCCATAAGTGCTCTATTAGATTTCCTCATACGGACCCCTCGGGCACACAGCGAAATCCAATCAGGACCACAATTACCAACCGGGCCTGCTCCGTGACCACAGACCACCACACAACCCGCTGTTTACACAACACTTACTGTCTACACACGACTGACTGTTCACATAAAGACTATTATACACAGGAAATAAAAGTGCATGGATTTATACATACATGCGTTCGTGAGTTTTTAATCGTGTCATTGGGGCTGTAGTCGACTAAAGGAATTCTTCTTAAAAAGGGGGCATGGCAAAAGTTACTTATCTCTATATATGTGACCCTCCTCATGACATCATCAGGTGGTAATCCAGAATGTGAAAATGGTGACCGTGAAGCCTTACTTTTTTCCATGCACATACACATTACTTATGTTATAAAACCATAGACTGTCTACATAAATGGGCATAGCCTATTTGCTGTGTTCCAAACAGGAAGTGAGCATGGGAGCATTTCTGGCTCCATCAACGCTGGTTCCAGTTACCTTTCTAGTAAAAAAAATAGAAATGTCTGCTTTCTCTTCGTAACTGCTTGTCATTTTGGTATTAAAATGTTTGTATTAATCGCTCTACATGATCCTGGGGTTTTTATTTCGCTAATTTGTCCATGACACAAGATATGAACATTAAAAACAAACGTTCTCTCCCATTAGCGTTAAACCAGCTGTGCGTCTTCATCATCCTCACTTCGGATTGGCTCTTTGGTCACTATGTTCCTCAGGTCAGAATTCCAATAACCTCAAGCCTCAATGAGCTTCATTTGACTGGAGCCGAATGCTACAGGTGAAATCATACTCCTTTAGTCCACTTCTTTACACAGTCTATGAATACAACACAGAATTCCAAAGCGAAACAGAGTAGTTGGACCTTTAAGCTCTGAGTATATTGACTGAGGCTTCCCACAAGTATCCATTTCACTGAAGAACAATAGAAGCCACTAGAACCTGTGCTTTGTGTCACCATGAACAGCAGCTTAGTGGAGTGTTTGACCATTCCGGTACAGTTTGGTGGTATTCAGAGTACAGTTATTTTTCTAAAATCAAAGGAATACATGGCAGCACTTGATCACATAATGCAGGCTTCAAGCTGCACAGAATTAGTGAAAAAATGAGAAAATAGAGCTCTTACAGCATGTGCATGTAGTTTTTCCTTCCACAATAAATTAGTTTTTAATCCTATATCTTTTGCTACCTTTTTTACTACTTATTTAGATATATAAAAACTCTTTATTATATTGCATTGTGATGTGTGACCTACTGTGTCTAAATAATTTCCCTTGCTGCGTTTTTACACTATAATTTAAATGCAACTCTGTGTGAAAGTATTCTAAATATTTAGAATACAGTACTCTGATTGGAGCATGTACTAAAAATCTCGGGGTAATAATGGACTCAGACTTGAACTTTAACAGCCACATCAAATCAATAACATCTGCAGCCTTTTACCATCTAAAAACATAGCAAAAATCAAAGGTTTACTGTCTAAATCAGACTTGGAGAAACTTATCCATGCGTTTGTCTCCAGTAGATTAGATACTGTAATGTTCTGCTCACTGGTCTCTCCAAACGAGCTGTGAGACGCTGCAGAACATCCAGAACATCCAGAACATTCAGAACATCCAGAACATCCAGAACGCTGCAGCTCGGGTCCTTACTCGAACTAGGAAGTACGAGCACATGCGTCCTGTGCTCAGGTCTCTGCTCTGGCTCCTGTGCCTCAGAGACTTTAAAGCGTCTCTGTTTGTACAAGTCTCTCCATGGCCGAGCACCAAAGTCCATCTGTGACATGTTAGTGTCATATGAACATCTCACACTCTGAGGACCTCAGGGACCGGCCTTCTGCTGGTGCCCAGAGTCAGGACTAAACAAGGGGAGTCAGAGTTTCAGGTTCATGCAGCTAAAACCTGGAACAGTCTGAACATGTGAGACAGACTCTTCTGTGACGCTGTTTAAATCCAGGCTCAAAACATTTCTGTTTAATTGTGCATATAACTGAAAGGTTTTCATTCTGCACTCTTCTCTCCAATTTATGTCTCTCTTTTTAAATTTTAATCTTCATGATTATTTATGTTTTGATTTGTTTTTATTATGATTTTAATGTATTTCTTATTCTGTAAACACTTTGAATTACTTTGTGTATGAATTGTGGTATACAAATAAACTTGCCTTGCCTTGCCTTACTAGAATACATCACTAAATACATTTTCGTGCAGGTGTTCAGTAGCCAGGCTGGTGCCACAGTGCCTCCGCTCAATTTCATTTCTCTTCTGCAACTAGGGCAGGAATCAGAATACACTAGACGATTTGCAAAAAACACGGAAGTGCGAGTTCGGGCACCAGCCAATAATATATTCAGTGTTGTCAACGATTCCTGAGATCGAGGATTTAAAGCCAGAATAAAGAGAATGTTTGGAGAATTTCATCAAGGGGAAAGACGTTATTGTTCTTCTTCCTACTGGATTTGGGAAATATACTTTCTTGCTTAATATACCAGTTAGCGGCGCATTACATACATCACAACCAAATAGCAGCAATTGGTTAAATGATAAAAAGTGCCCGGCCACCATTGGGCGAAGGAATTCTAACACTGCAAGGTCAGAAGATTTCTTCCAAGTGAAACCGGCTGATGAATCAGGCTAGAGACTCAGCATTCTGTAACTAAACACATTTTCAAAGTATTCTTCCCATCACTGTTGATCGGAAGATTGGCGGTGCGATTCCAGCTCTCACAAATGAATGCTGTTGTTGTGTCCTTGGGCAATACACTTAGCCCACCTCACCCCCAGTGTCGGAGTACGTGTGTGTGAATTAGTGGTTCCTTGATGTAAAGGACTTTGAGCGCCTTGACGGTGGAAAAGCGTTATAAAAATAGGAGTACTGACCATTGACCATTTTACCATTTAGTCAGTCAAAAGTTCAAAAATACTGACAAACTAACACAAGAATTTCAGAACATGTTTGTACAGATGTAAACTACAAGAGATTTTGTGATATGTGTAGGAAATGATGGTACTTCAAAAACTGCAGCCTTCTCTAATTGCGTCCATTCAAAGTGTGATTTCAGTGCGATTGAGCCCTAACTGAGGTTTCATTTTACAAACGATAAAGCATTTTAAATAAACACACAAAACTTATCTCCAAATAAAACATCATTGGTTCAAGTCCAGACCTGTCCTGTCTCAACTCTATTAAACTAGAGCCTCGTAAAACAAAACATTTAGAAAATACATATTATACCTACATTACACAATCGACTCACTTAACAAAGTACCATAATTTCCTCCACAAACAATAAAATCTCCTGTGTTATTCTGCATAAAAGCTGCTAACCCTGTACAAACATGATCGAAATGTGATTATTGTTTGTTAATT